AAAATAATCTGTAGTTTTTTCAAATGTTGAAGTTGTATTTGTGCGTATTGAATATGGGTCATCTTCTGAATTTATATCCGATTCTGTATCAATTGAATTTGGACTTGATGAAAATAATTCTTCGGCTGATGAATCGTCGGAATTTGAAGAGATTTCTGATGATAACTGTTCAGATGAACTTGAAATGTCAGGAGAACTGTAATCAAACTCTGAATTTTGATTCCGTTGAGACAATTGTGGAATTGGAAAATGAATTTGAATATTTTGTTGATTTTGCATTTGCGATTCAAGTATCATTTGACGATCTGTTATAATTCGGCCGAAAGCCCGGGAAATTCCTATTTTTTGAACTTTATTATGTAAATTTTGGACAGTATTTATTAATTCTTGTGGTGGATCTTTTGGTTTTGGACCTGTACGTAATTTTGGAATTTCAATTTGATTGAAATTAAGAGCGTTTTTAAAAGTTTTATGTGATATTGTGGGAAGAATTCTTCCATCTGTTAAAGGGACATTTTGGAGAACGGTTTCGACGTTAATACCGCTTTGAATTTGTTGATTAGCTTGATTTAACCATTCTAAATCAATTAAATCGAAGATTCTACCACTCATTTGAAAATTATAAGTTTTGAAAAAAACCGTAAATCATTATTGAATCTAAAAATATTTATGTACAAAAAGTCGGTATATATTCTATAATTATTTAAAATAATGAAAAAGTTGATTTGTGAATCATTGAAATATTAATGCTGTTATATATATATATCAGATGATATAAGATGATTTTTTTAAATAAAAAATAAAATTTAATTTTTTAATTGTTAAAATAAGAATAGTAAGCTTGACAAGTAATTTAAGTTTTTGCTTTGTAAAGTTATTTGGTTGGCAAATGCATTGTGTCACTTTTTGTTTGAGTTCACTTTCCGTAATTTGTCTTATGATAGTATTTTCGTCGACTATGGCACGAGACACGAACATTGACCAAACGGACAAAAAGTGTCATTTCGGATGGTCAAGCAGCCAATCGCATTCGAGCACTTCGAAGAAGCCTTACGTTCCAAGGGAGAGGGTGTCTGGTGCAAGGCAGAGGTCATGAGACTCTACGAGCAGTACATCCTCAATGCCTGGGAGGACAAATCGTCCTTGAATTGGCAATTCTACCAACTCCTCTGGGACGACCTCCTACGCAACTGGGAAGATAACGAAAGAGCCCAATTCAAAGGTCGGGAGCTAATTTTCCAAATTACCATTAATAGTGCCTACTTATCCAACTAAACACTTAAATTTACTTGGGGTTTCCCCCTAAAATATTTTTTACTCTTAGAACCACTCGAGGTTCTCCTTACGGTTGTTGAGCTTGTCACCGTCAATGTGTCTGACCTTCGTCTTCTTGCCTGGATTTGGAACCCATTGAATTGCGACAAGCTTGCCCATGGAGTGTTGTGCATGAAAAATAGCGTGACTTCACTTTTGACAAAAAGTGACACTATTTCTGATGGTTTTGTCATTTATTTGTCAGATTTATAAATGGATAATAATGCTGTAAATCAGATATTAATTAAAAATATTTAAGATTTATGTTCGAATTGAAAAGCAAAATGATATTTTTTTAATTGAAAAACGTTAATATCTGATATTTTGAAGTTTTTAATATTTGTTAGTATCTTAAATTATTGAATGCATACATTTTTTATGTTCTCAATTTTAAAAAATTGTGAAGAATTTAGTTTTTTGGAGATGGATGTTTAATATTTGTGAGTGAGAATGCAAGCAGGAGTTTGGTACTTTAAGGCTAGGTTGAGATAGATTTCCCATTATATTATCTGTGAATATTTTGCTTGAAAATTCAAGATATAAAAATATATTATCAAAAAATTTTATATTTTTAAATACAATAGGGTGGAAATATAGTACGATGAGATAGCAATGATATATTTTATAATGGGAGGTAATCTGAAGATAAGTAGCAAATTTTATGCGATTTTGATTGGGAGTTGGAGGGTGTGAGTACTATAGCATGTAATAGTATCTCACACCCTCCAATTCTTCCTATGGCGCCGAAAAATTTTTGGTGAAATGCGACGACATTTCACCAAAAAATTTTCGGCGCCATATAGAGAACTATAGTCTGCGAGGTACTGATTCTATCTATGTACCTCGCAGACCATAGTTCTCAGCCAAAATGTCAAAAATTTCGGAAATTCGAAATAATTTTTTTTGAGAAAAAATTAACCGTTTAACATAATATTTATAATATTGCTTATTCAATTAGACGGATTAAAAATTATATGTTTTCTTTTTATTTTTTCAATTCAATTATTAGCTGACTCGAATTTGTATAAGTTTTTTAAAATAGATATCAAACATTAAATATAAAAAAGAAAACAATTAAGAATATTAAAGTAAATTCTTTATTAAGAAACAATAAAATGAAAATATAAAACTTTGTATGATTTGAGTGGATATTGAGAGTAATTTGTGAGTGTGCTTCAGCTGCATATGTAAGATTGTTCGGATTTAATTAAAAATTGTAAATTTTTTGTCTTTATATCAAACTATTCGACAAAACTTTGTATGATTTGAGTGGATATTGAGAGTAATTTGTGAGTGTGCTTCAGCTGCATATGTAAGATTGTTCGGATTTAATTAAAAATTGTAAATTTTTTGTCTTTATATCAAACTATTCGACAAAACTTTGTATGATTTGAGTGGATATTGAGAGTAATTTGTGAGTGTGCTTCGGCTGCATCCGCTAATTCCTTCTTCATTCTTAACATTCTTTGTTTTATTTAGAACTATATTATCTTATTTCTAAAAATAATACTGAATTTTTTAAAAAATCCAAATGTAATAAATGTAAGTGTTTATTCCTTAACTTCCTTTTTGTGATTTTTTGAATTTTCTTGTTTTTGAAATTATTTGTTAATCTCTAAGATTTTTTTCGAAGCCTGGTTCAGCGCAGAGATCTTTTGTCCATTTGGGGCCTCTTTCCCAGGCCTCAAATGGAGTCAATTTCTCCCCAAAGAGTTTGAATAATGCGGAGTGTTTCCATACCCTATTATACTGGGAAACAACATTGGGGATGAACTCAAAGACGTTCACTCCAGGGTTTGTCTTGAAAAGAGTCTCCCAACTCCTTTCAATTTTTCCATTTTCCTCTGGAGAGTACGGATGAGTTTTGAAATGTTTTATATTGAATTCTTGGCAAACCGCTTCAAAATCTTTTCCAATGAATTCTGTTCCATTATCTGTGAGAATTCCATGTGGAACTAATTTGACTAAATCAATTGCGTGACGAAATACTCTGGCAGTATTTTTCATTTCTTTTGTATCGAAAACATCCCAGCAAATAATGTATCTGCTTCTGTCATCAAGAAATGAAATTAAATATTGAAGGTTACCGTTATCGTCCTTCAGAAATTTCAAATCAGTATGCCACAATTGATTAACATATTGAGCAACGTATTCATGTGGATGTTCGTCGATTTTCTGATGCCTGTGAAATGTAAACAAATGTTGTTGATTGAAAATTTTGAAAGCATCGTTGAATGTAAATCTTTCGACTTTTTCGAAATATGATTCTTTGATCCTTTTGTATCCAATGTCATATTGTGCTTTAATTTCCAAAATTTTGTATACATCTTCCTCAAAAATTTTTTTCTTTGGTCTTCCTCTTTCTTTTATTGGATAGCCGAGTAGTACGAAAATTTTTTTCAAACGTTCTTTTCCTATTGAAAGTGTTTTTGCCGTATCTTCGAGAGTTACATTTGGATTATTAATGTATTCTTGATATTTTTCTTCAATTACGTTGAGAACCTGATCGGCGGGAACGGTTGGGAGTTGAAAAGTTTTAAGATCTTCTGGGTTTTCGAGACGAACCAAGATGTCTTCCATTTTTTAATTTGTAAATTTTTCAATTTTTCAAAAGATAATTTAAAAATACTAGTTATTTGATAAAATTTGTTTATTTTAAATAAAACAATTTTTTTTGAAAAAATTATATTAATGATTTGAAGGCAAAAGCCAAAAACTTAATAGATAAAATGCTCTTTCTATATAGATCAACTTCTATTATTAAATTTATAAAAATGGAGAGATTTTGCAAATTATTTTCTAATATATTATATTTATAATCATTTTATTTATCCCATTAATAATTGTGAACCCAGAACATCTTCCCTTCAAAGTGCCAAGCATCAACACACATTCTCACTCACAAATTTTTAAAACTCATTGCCAAAAATTTAAAAAACTCACAATTTTTTTTAAATTGATAACCCTCAAACCGTTTCCAATCAATAATTTGAGAGTCTATATGATAATGTAAAAGTTAAAACATTCAAGTATTTAAGTATTTCTTTAAAATATTAAGTTTTTTATTTTTCCAATAAAATTCTAATATCAAATATTTTTATTTAACGATTAATTTTATTTATATTTTTATAGTTTTTTTAAGAAAAAATATTGTTAGGGTTTTATGGATTTTCAATTAATATACAAGATAATTCATGAATGTATATATTTCCAAGTTTTTAAGGATGCAACACTTTACATTTGTAAACTGTCAAAAATGAAGTCACGCTATTTTTCATGCATTACAGCTTTGGAGACAACAGATGGAAAAGTTTACTTCACTGACCAACAGTTCATTATAGAACATCTCATTGACTTAGAGTCGAAATATTCTAAACTTTACAACAAACACAAAAAGTTGAAAGGAAAACAAAAACAAATGGCATATGATATTTATGAAGATGTTGACGACACAACTGTTCCTGCAAGTGAAGTAAAGTCAGAGGAACCGAAAAGTGACGAAAAACCGATAGAAGAAGAGAAACCAAAAACTGAAGATAAACCAAAACCAAAGTTTAGTTTCCAAACTAAACCAAGTCAACCTTCATTAGCTGGTATGGGTTGGCGTCAAAGACTTATGGCAGCAGGCGGTTATGTAAAGTAAAGAAAAAATATTTTTTTATTTTTATAAAAATGCCCCATATAGAATGGATAGAAAGTCTGCTAGAATAAAAGCAGAGTTACAAAGATATGGTTGGAGAGTTTCGAAGAATTTTAAATATAGGAAGGGAAGACCCATAAAAGTCTATGACAAATTGTCTGGTCTTCGCTACGAAATGGATTTGGAAACAGCACGTGCCAATTATCCAAACAGACTAGAGAGGTTAGAAGAAGAACGTCTTATGGACATGCCTTTCGATGTTAGTGAACCTCAAGTTGAAGGACACGACGGCTTTGCCAGATTCTACTGGAAACATGACGAACAATTGCATCCTTTGAGAAGGAAAAAAGGAAAAGGTGAAGACGCACATGCTCCCATGGAAAGAACAAGATATGCATATGAAAAGTATCGTGAAGTTAGAAGTCAAATTACATCTGGTCGAACCTTTACAGTAAACTTTGACGAAGGAAAGAACAAAGAAGGCTTCATGGGAGTACTTGCTGCAATTCAAGACGGAAATAAGAAAGGACACAATCTCAGATTGACCATAACAGATTTGGATGGTCACATTTACTATGCACATGGCAATGAACAAACAGCCGCAAAACTTCTTGACGCTTTCAAGACTACAAAGAGAGAACAAATGGTTGACTCCGACTCAGACATTTTGAATGCAATTGAAGGAATTGCAAGTGTCAAGTTCGAATGGTACCAACCTAACCCTCAAGCAGTCAGACAACATGCTGGATACTTCCCCTTCATAAATAAGTCTGACATTGACTTGACAAGGTATGGAATTTACAATTCAATTGAAACAATTGTCAATGAACCTTGCATTCTTACATGTCTCAGGAACTCTGGTCTTGTTACAGATGAGAAGATGAAGTATCTTGAGTCATGTGTGAAGACAAGGTACATTCTCAGAGGTCAATTGGCAAAAATTGCACCGTTGGCAAATGTCAATATCCGAGTCAACATACCTACAGCTAAAGGTTCTTCACATGACGACTATGTTGTTGACAAAGACTTACCATGGTTGAAGATTGTAATTGTCCACAACCACTTCATGTTGAACGAAAGTCTTACAAACCCATTCTTTGGTAAAAGTAAGTGCAACATTGTCAGAGCTGTCAACATTCTTTTCAAGAAAGGTTTGTTGGAACCAATTCCAGATGACAAGCTGACAGAAACTTTTGTACCAAAAGACGAAACAAACTTTTCATTGTTAGCAAGACCAAAAGTTGTTCCAGACAAAGTTCTAGTACAAAAGAAGTACACGGTTCCACAAGGGGTTGGTATGTTCAGATACCAACCTGAACCAGAAGAACTTCCAATGAGGTTGCAAGAACTTCAAGATGCTATAAACAAACTTCCATTGAGACATCCAATTGACGTCAAATTATATTGGAGAGCATCTGAGTTAGGTCAGAAGGTTTTATATGAAACAGGTTGCTTCGACGATGTTTATGAGATAACAGGAGAAGTTTCTCAGAAGATAAGAGACTCACTTGAATTTCCACAAACTGGACCAATTGGTTGCAACAAGTTCGACTCAGATGAAAAGATATACTATGTCGACCTTAACGCTGCATACATGAGGTTTGTCCAATATATTCCGACTGGAATTCCAAACGAAGATGGTGAGTTCCCGGGAAGGAACTATACAGTTGGAAAAGTCATACAACAACTGTATGATATTAGGAAAGCTTCAAACCCCAAACTTGCAATGACACTCAAATTGCTTATGAATTCGACATGGGGATATTCCATTAAGAAACCTCAAGAGATGAAGAGTAAACATTATGAGAAGGTCGACAACTTTGTTGAAGGTTTTCTCCTTTTGTTTTGAAGTACGAATTCACTCAAGGTCAAAGTGGCTTAGTAACCACATTAAAACCTATTGTCGAACATTGGTCTTACCCTCAGTTCGCAAAGGCAGTCCTTGACAACTACAATGAGTTCTTCTCCGAAGTCAAATCCAAAGTCAAGGTTTACTATGAGAACATTGACGCACTCATGACGAACGAAGAAGGCTATAACAAACTCATTGAAATGGGAATGGTCGGTGAAAAGATGGGTCAATTCAAATTGGACAAAATTTTCACCGAAGTTCATGTCCTCTCCAAGCGTAAGTACTGGGGTGTTAAAGAAGATGGTGAAATAGTTAAACATTGCATGAAATAAAAAATTTTTATTCGAATTTGAATTTAAATGTGGGAATTCTTGGGAACGGGAAAGGCTTATTTACTTGAGGAACAGGTAAAGGTGGTGGAGGTGGTGGCAACCAGTCCATTTTATATTCCTTCCTAGCTAATTTCCGTTTAATTTCATGGTCGCCCTCGGAGTCTTTGAATCGGACAGGTCGAGTTACACCATTCTTGGTCTCAAACTCATATATAACCTGTTTGTCTGTATTGTTGTAAGACGAGTTACGGAAAGTGAGGTGAACCGAAAAAGTGACACTTATTTGGTCGGATAAATTCCCTATATATTTACTTGTCAAAAAAAATCAGACTTTTTTTGCTTTAAAAAATTTATAAGTTAATTATTGAGAACGAAGGTGAAAGGAAATGGATATCTCTTACCTTTCATTCCCTCGAGAAAGTTCAAAAACTTGGGTGCAATCAGTTCTGATTGCACCCAAGTTTTTGAACTTTGTATAAGGAATTGTTGGCTATGATGCACTGATCATGAATCAGTACATCATAGCCAACAATTCCTTCGCAAACAGCGGGAAACTTTGTCCGAATAGTTTAACATTCGGACAAAGTTTCCCAACTTTCAAGCCGAAATTCGCGGATACCATTCACCAACTAGCTCTTGCTATGATGGTTATTAAAAATCAAGATCTATATTAAATTCAAAATCTACTCAAAGTCACTAATGTTCGATTTCGGAGTGTCAAATTACTGTACTACAGTTGCTGCTTCTTCTGCAACTTGCGTATCTCTGTAACGAAGAAAAAAAATATGTAAATGTTTTAAAAAGTAAGTGTTTATTCTTATTAATCTGACTGAGCTTAGTAAGAAGATGTAATCGATATTGTTAATTTGTGTTAAAAATTAGATTTTATTTTCGATTTTAAAATATTACCGAATTAATTTCTTTGATTGGCTCTCCTCTCGCGGAAATGTTGAAGAGAAATCCTCAAATCCTTAATTTCTCCATCAACTTTCCAAAGGGGTTCTTTGGTGGTATCATATTTTTCGCTGATATCATAAAATTTGTTTGGTGTAAACCAGGTATGTATTTCTGGATTTTTTGGTAACTGTGTATGTGGTGTTGCGTTATAATTTTCGATTAAATTTTGAATTTGATCCCAAGCTACCTCATCAACTTGAATATTCTGCCAAAATCTTTCGATTTTGCCATTCATGTAAGGGCAGTGTGGTATTATCGTGATTGATTCGACGTTTGCATTTTTTAATAAATTTTTGAAAACACCGTAGTTTTCAAGCCCATTGTCACTCCATATGGCAAACGGTTTGCCATATACATCGAAACATTGTTGAATGACACGACTTGTTTGTGCCGCTTCTTTAGTTTCGAGATGTGACCAAGCCAAAATTTTTCGTGATTTATCGTCAATAACGGCATATAGATATTCACCTTGGCGATGATTTAAAAAGTGAATATCTACATGCCATATTTCATTAACGTAAAAAGCTTCGTATTTTGTTTGACCTTTTGCCTTTGAATTTTTTGGCGGTTGTGCAAGATTGAGAAGTTTGAAACATTTATTAACAGTTCTTTCGGAAAATTGAATGTTCAATAATTTACGGTCAAAATAATCTGTAGTTTTTTCAAATGTTGAAGTTGTATTTGTGCGTATTGAATATGGGTCATCTTCTGAATTTATATCCGATTCTGTATCAATTGAATTTGGACTTGATGAAAATAATTCTTCGGCTGATGAATCGTCGGAATTTGAAGAGATTTCTGATGATAACTGTTCAGATGAACTTGAAATGTCAGGAGAACTGTAATCAAACTCTGAATTTTGATTCCGTTGAGACAATTGTGGAATTGGAAAATGAATTTGAATATTTTGTTGATTTTGCATTTGCGATTCAAGTATCATTTGACGATCTGTTATAATTCGGCCGAAAGCCCGGGAAATTCCTATTTTTTGAACTTTATTATGTAAATTTTGGACAGTATTTATTAATTCTTGTGGTGGATCTTTTGGTTTTGGACCTGTACGTAATTTTGGAATTTCAATTTGATTGAAATTAAGAGCGTTTTTAAAAGTTTTATGTGATATTGTGGGAAGAATTCTTCCATCTGTTAAAGGGACATTTTGGAGAACGGTTTCGACGTTAATACCGCTTTGAATTTGTTGATTAGCTTGATTTAACCATTCTAAATCAATTAAATCGAAGATTCTACCACTCATTTGAAAATTATAAGTTTTGAAAAAAACCGTAAATCATTATTGAATCTAAAAATATTTATGTACAAAAAGTCGGTATATATTCTATAATTATTTAAAATAATGAAAAAGTTGATTTGTGAATCATTGAAATATTAATGCTGTTATATATATATATCAGATGATATAAGATGATTTTTTTAAATAAAAAATAAAATTTAATTTTTTAATTGTTAAAATAAGAATAGTAAGCTTGACAAGTAATTTAAGTTTTTGCTTTGTAAAGTTATTTGGTTGGCAAATGCATTGTGTCACTTTTTGTTTGAGTTCACTTTCCGTAATTTGTCTTATGATAGTATTTTCGTCGACTATGGCACGAGACACGAACATTGACCAAACGGACAAAAAGTGTCATTTCGGATGGTCAAGCAGCCAATCGCATTCGAGCACTTCGAAGAAGCCTTACGTTCCAAGGGAGAGGGTGTCTGGTGCAAGGCAGAGGTCATGAGACTCTACGAGCAGTACATCCTCAATGCCTGGGAGGACAAATCGTCCTTGAATTGGCAATTCTACCAACTCCTCTGGGACGACCTCCTACGCAACTGGGAAGATAACGAAAGAGCCCAATTCAAAGGTCGGGAGCTAATTTTCCAAATTACCATTAATAGTGCCTACTTATCCAACTAAACACTTAAATTTACTTGGGGTTTCCCCCTAAAATATTTTTTACTCTTAGAACCACTCGAGGTTCTCCTTACGGTTGTTGAGCTTGTCACCGTCAATGTGTCTGACCTTCGTCTTCTTGCCTGGATTTGGAACCCATTGAATTGCGACAAGCTTGCCCATGGAGTGTTGTGCATGAAAAATAGCGTGACTTCACTTTTGACAAAAAGTGACACTATTTCTGATGGTTTTGTCATTTATTTGTCAGATTTATAAATGGATAATAATGCTGTAAATCAGATATTAATTAAAAATATTTAAGATTTATGTTCGAATTGAAAAGCAAAATGATATTTTTTTAATTGAAAAACGTTAATATCTGATATTTTGAAGTTTTTAATATTTGTTAGTATCTTAAATTATTGAATGCATACATTTTTTATGTTCTCAATTTTAAAAAATTGTGAAGAATTTAGTTTTTTGGAGATGGATGTTTAATATTTGTGAGTGAGAATGCAAGCAGGAGTTTGGTACTTTAAGGCTAGGTTGAGATAGATTTCCCATTATATTATCTGTGAATATTTTGCTTGAAAATTCAAGATATAAAAATATATTATCAAAAAATTTTATATTTTTAAATACAATAGGGTGGAAATATAGTACGATGAGATAGCAATGATATATTTTATAATGGGAGGTAATCTGAAGATAAGTAGCAAATTTTATGCGATTTTGATTGGGAGTTGGAGGGTGTGAGTACTATAGCATGTAATAGTATCTCACACCCTCCAATTCTTCCTATGGCGCCGAAAAATTTTTGGTGAAATGCGACGACATTTCACCAAAAAATTTTCGGCGCCATATAGAGAACTATAGTCTGCGAGGTACTGATTCTATCTATGTACCTCGCAGACCATAGTTCTCAGCCAAAATGTCAAAAATTTCGGAAATTCGAAATAATTTTTTTTGAGAAAAAATTAACCGTTTAACATAATATTTATAATATTGCTTATTCAA